AAGTGTCTTGCCCAAGGACACAACGACCAGGACAGAGAGCCCAGAGATCGAACCGGTTACAGATGCACTTCCCAACCCCCTGAGCCACGGTCGCCCAATGCTCAGCTTGAACTTATAAGATGAGACTTTGGAATCCAATGAGCGATCTCACCAGCGCTTGAGATCATTTTTTTTTTGAATTTTTATGGGGACAGAGATATTTTTCTATTTCATAATCTGCCAAATGTTTTCGTTGGGTACCAGATCTGGAATTCAGGCAGGTGACTTAATCTCACTTTTACGACAAAACCATGCTCTTGAATGCTTTCTGAATTTAGTCTGTCTTGCAGAAAAAAGAAAACCTGCTGAGAAAAAATGATATTATCTGCAGCTGTATGTGTTTCTCCTAAACCTGCATATTCCGTATTAATGGTACCTTCACTAATGTGCACTTATGCACCCCCATGTCATCACTGATGCTGGCTTTTAAAATTTGTCCTGATAAGGAACTTGATGGTCGCTCTTTTCTTCAGCTTGGAGGACAACATTTTTCACTGAGCGAAGGTGGCAACGTTTCTCCGATCTCATTTATATGTTGTTACTTTGTTCCCTCTGCTTGTTAAGGCCAATTCAAGGGCCTTAACATATGTTTCTAAGCCCATGAAGTTATTTATACTAAAAAAATTAAGCTTTACTCCTAAAACCCCGGGCCTGTCGTAATTGCTCTTTTAATACCCAGTCATGTTACTTGTTATCTAATTATGAAATGTTCCACCAGGTCTGTTTCATTCTTTTCTTTTTGTGTCGCCCCCCCATTCTAACTTTTATTCTTAGTCCCAGTTACATAATTTTACTTGTTGTCTTTGGATTATTTTCAGTCAAATATAGGTTTTTAATCATTTTTAAACTACCACGTTCTAGTATTTATATTCTACACAGCGTTCCAACTTTTTGGGAGACATTGGTTGTAAATGGAAACGTCTGTTTTTCTCTTCACTAGAGGTCAAACAAAGTTATGGGAATCAAAGTCATGTCATCATGTCTTCTTCCCCCTTTTCTCTCTCTGTTGCTTGCTTTTTGAACGCTGCTGTCTTGTACGTACTGATAAACAGATGGTGGAGAGGAGACATGCAGGCCGCTGCTGATTCCCAGAGGCACTGAGACAGTACATTAGAGGAAACACGATAGCCGTCTCTCAAAGTTTCATTGCACATTTTTGTTTATTTTAACTATATGATGGTGTTTGAGTTAGTCAACCTCTATCATGTAAATTAATATCTAAACTATTAAATAACTGTGGATGAAATGCATAAATTAAGCTCAAGTGACTGACAGGGAGAAGGACTTCTTTTTCTTATGTTATAAACTGCTGGAATCACATAATAAACTTTAACATTAAAAATCTCACTGTAAAAAAATGTCTGCTCAACTGAACTGTCAGTGGAAGTGATTGAATTCTGCAATAAGGGGAGGGCAGACATAGAAGCATCTGGTGAAGCTGGTTATTTGTGTGAGGGTAATTGATCAGTTTCAGAAATATTCTAGCTCTTAAAGTGAGTCTTTATAAATTAGAGGAATAGTTTGACATTCTGTGAAATACGCTTGCATTTGCTTTTTTGTATTATGTGGGTAAATTGATATTGCACTCTATCGTCTGCACTAAGGCTGTCATGATAATGGAATTACAACTTTTAGACTCATACCCAGGAAAATGCTTCATATTTATTACCATTTTCAATACCGTGGGTGAACAAAATGGCCAAAAATCAAGAGTAATTTTTAATAAATATTGATTAGAACAATACAAACAATGATAATGTCAATGAAACTATTTGCAAGTTGCCTGAAATATTGTAGAAAGCCAATTAAGATAATTTTAAGGTATATATAAATATGTATATGACAAATATTTTAAACAAGAAAAAAGGACAATATTTTTAGTTGTCCAAGGTAATCTCTGTTTGTCATTGCTAACGAGATAGTCAGTGACGTGTCAGTAAAGTAGGCTACCTGTTTTTGTCTACTTGTCTAGGTTCAGTCTAGGATTTTAAGAAAAAACATAACACTTTTTAGACATGAATAATTGTGAAATCCTGTTAAATCCTTTTCTGTAGGATAAGAAGTCTTAATTTTCATGCACTTACATTCTTAGTTTTTCAGTAACCAGAAACCTCAGCATTCAGCAGCCATCTTCAGACACATCAGTGCATTTATTTGGGCAGGTATTTTGAAGTGCTATGCATGGTAAATCATTGATCACTGAGACATAAAACTGGATGCATGTAATCAGCAGTAAAATCTAAAACCTAACATCTGAAAGGTTTACTGACATTCAGCTGAAATGAGCTTTTTTTCCCCTGGATGCTAAACTTGCACCACCATCTTTCCCGAGGCAGAGTTCTCCCATAGATTTCAATGAAGGTTTCTTTGATTGCCCTCTCTCTCTTATAACGTCTCTAATGTTACAGCTCATCAGAGGCTTCTCTTGTATGTTTCTGCAAAGGCCTGTGGTCCATTTTTTAAGATTAATTGGTTTCTAACTTTGCACCAACTGTAATTTAAACATCGTTTGATTTTTATAAAAGATAAAAGGATAAAAATAACTCCTCTTATAACTTAAAAGCTTTTGCAATTACCTTCTTTCCCTTCCTGTCCTAATGAGACATTTTTAAGTAGAGCTTGAAGCAAGACACAGCAATGACGTGAATTTTTACACAACCTAAAATAGCCTGTAAATGTAAACCACCTGTCATTACTTGGTGATCTTCCATCACTACAGTGGTTGAGACTGGACTTAACTGTGCAAGTTTGATAATATATTAATGTAATTCTCTCATTTGCTCTCCTCTTTGCTCTCTCTGGATTCAGGCTGTCTGTGCGGTTGGGATGTTTGAGCTTCAGATCCGACACTTTCAGAACCCACATGGACGTCTGCAAACAGGAGAATGCTGTGATCTCCAGGCCAGCGGAGCACAGCACTGCTCTGCCAGGGACCAGTGTGACACTTTCTTCCAGGCCTGCCTCAAGGAGTACCAGGCCCGGGTTGCCCCAACTGGAGCCTGCACCTTTGGTACCGGCAGTACGGGTATCCTGGGTGGAAACTCCCAGTTGTTCCACCACAGAGGACACGACAGGGGGGGAGGAGGAGAGGACGGGAGTAATGGACACATTGTCATTCCTTTCCAGTACGCCTGGCCGGTAAGTACAGGGGCAGTGATGGTTAGCAGTATGGTTACCAAGGGAACAGGCTAAGCTTCAAGTGGGAAACAATGCACTCAAACTGAGGCTAGAGGAGAATAACGATGACACTCAGAGCTTCACACTCACATGCTTTTGTATCACAATAACCACAACATATTCTTCTACTAGAGTATTACAATATGGAAAACACAGAATTTGCTAATGTGCTCATGAAAGAAAGATAATCTTCCTGGTGAATCACACATCTTACATCTCCCAGACTGACCCAAGAAGACCTGATCTAAGCTGTTAAAGGGTTATTAAAAGAATGAAATGAAAATATTTGACAGTGTTTGACACAGATATTCTTGTTGCCCATGATTAAAATTTTTGGATATTTGTGATCTTTGGTTTATGAGCAAAAACACACAAACCTAAAAATGAGAGTGATGCAGCTGTGGTTCAGAATGAGTGTGACTATCACCCCCAAATTGCCTCTGATGCATCCGTGTCAGTGTGACAGAAAGTACATAAAAGCGCAGAAAAAGGTTGGGAGAAAGTCCTCAGTTAGACTTGAAGACTGCTTGAATAGAATGAGGCCATTTACCAGCAGAATGGCTATTTTTTGTATTTAGTATATGCTAATCTTAAAGTTCTTCCTGCAATCCTGTAGTGGCCCTTGGCGACTTTCTGCCGTTTACAAGGGAGAGTACACTAGTGTGCATTTCATTCATCCACATTCTTGTGAGCCTTTTTACCTTTATTAGACAGTATAGTGAGGTGGAGAAAGGAGAGTGAGGGGAAGGGATGCAGCAAAGGGCCTCAAGTCAGAGACTAACCCAGACTGCTGCATTTAACTGTGCAGCATACGAGGTCCTGTTCAGTCTCTGAGCTTTATTCCAAATGCAATCATGGAGAAATACAGCTGGTGAAGCACTCTGGGTAATCAGTAAGACTAGAAGAAAACCTAGAAAAGCACGAAATGAATGCAGCTTATTTATCATTAAACTGGTGTCAAAATGTAACGGCCTCCAACATCTCCACTACACTAATGGCCACCACACTAGCCATTAGCCTGGTGGCCATTAGTGTGGTAATTACGTTGGTAACTGTCAGTGTAAAAATGACAATTACCAACATTGTCACCATAATTTAATATATCTGATATATGTTGGCTGGCTTCATAAACTGGAACTGAAACTTTGTGTGTCTAAACCAAGAAGGTGAGCACAGTCTGCCTAAACTTGGTTGCTTGTTTGGTTTGCTTTTCACTCCATTCCACTGTTTTTTCCATCACTTCACACCTCCACATCTTTAAAACGTTCTGTTCCTTATGTTACAGAAAGTTTCTGGAGGTTTCTTCAGCTCATATTGAACTACTTGTGTCTTGGGTCCTCTTTACAGAGCAGAACAATTAATCTGCAATTAGCACAACAGTAGGCAAGTGTGGTCAATTGATTATTCAATCTAACTTCTTTCTTCCTCCTCCAGTGCTCCATCTATCCCTGTTTATCCATTTAATTTTTGTTTCCCCAATAAAGCATCCAGAAGCTAAAAAGGCCACAAATATGTGCACTCACAGAAGCCTCTTTTAAAAATTTCTGTCTATTATATCATTTACATGTGCTGTATGTATGTAAAGCACTATGCAAAACTATGGTGCCAACCCTCATTCCTTTATGCTTCCAAAGAGCCAGACTTTTCTTGTAACTTTTTTTCGCAGTGGTCTTGAGAAGTAGTTTTTCTTTAGACATTGGCTGCCTTTTTCTCTGATCCTTCTACCTGACCATTTTATGAGGAATGTTTTTGATTGTTGAACCGATTAACATTCAACTATGAGTCATTCAAACAAAAAAAGGGCGCCTAACTTAAGGGATGAACTATTGTTGTGTGCGCACATAACAGAAACCTTCTAAATGTAAATTGTATCTTTAGGAACTTTGTTACTTGCAGCCAGAAACATTTTTTTCCAATTTATTTTATTGAATCCATGAAAAATAATAAGGATTACACAGTTTGAAAAGCCTAAAATAGTTTTTTTTGCCTAATAAGATGGTTCAGTGTCTTATGGAGTGAGATTTTAGTTTCAAATGATTGTCAAAATTTAAAGATGCGGTCAGGAGAGTACAACAGTGAGGCATCTGTAAAACACAGTGGAGGCTCTGTCATGGTAACTGCTAATAGCATAAGCGATTGATTGTTTAGGTAAAAATAAAAAAAAAACATTCGAAAAGTAAGTACCTTTCAAGTGTTAGCCTTTTCAGAGGTTCGGGGGAAGGTGCAGCTGTTGGAATAAAACAGCAAGTGGGGTCTTCATGTGTCACGTGACTCTTAAAATGACAGGAGAGTAAAAAGGTTTAATTACAGTGTAACACAAATACAGTAATTAGGCATAGCACTTATCTCTTCCCATCAACCCATTTTCTAAGAATCCATTAGTCCATCTGGGTGCTCATTAGTCACTCCTTTACTGTACTTTATTCTCACATTTAACTCTTGTTTATCGGTGAAACCAGAGATAAGAGAATCTGTTCAAAATGTCTTGGCAAGGACACATAGAAGTCATCCACAATTTTCCCGTGGATTTGAAAAGGTTTTGTTTGTTTCTTGCACTGAAGAAATGCTCCTGCACTATTTCCTGTTACCCTTTCTTTGTCTTTGATCGCTCCCAGCATGGTCGACTTGTTTCTCATAATGAAAGAATTACAGAAATGGCAGTCAAAGACCTCACGCTTCTAAGCCATAATCATATTATGTCGTAATAATGTTTGTTATGTAGCACAAAACCCCGAGGTGAGGCTTCAGAAACACACACACACACACACACACTCCTAATATGTCTGCAGTGGCACACACACAGCTGTATTTCCTTCACTTCAGAGGACGTTACTTTGACTCACATTAATTTCCCGGAGACTTACGCTAAACCTGAAAACTAACCCTTCATACTGAAATGAATTGATTTATGTTATGGGGACTTGGTTATTGTTCCTGCAGTGTGACTGAAAACAGTTTATGTCCCTGCAACAATCTAAGTACAAACACACACAGAGGAATGTTACACAGCTTGGGTTTAGGTTTCTTTTTCTTGATTAGTATCACCTGTGAGACTCCCTGTCCCAGAGCCAATTATCTTCCCTTATCTGTGTATAGTTTGCTTTTGTGTGAGTTTTCATGTGTGCGCTGTATATCTAGTGCGTGTGTCACACTTTTCACCGGGGAAGTGCGTGACTGGCAGATACGAGTGTGAGAAAGTTCTCCGTCAGAAAGCTTTACCTGGATCAGTTTCAGGGCCGGGCCGCAGGGCGGGCTGGGCTTCAGGGGAGAGAGAGCCGGGACACTCTGTGGCAACCTTAGAGCATTTTCAACTGAAAGGCCTGCTTTATCTGGCCATCTCTGGGAGGTGGAGGGTAGTGGGTGGTGGGTGAGGGAGGTAGAGTGATCCCCCTGCCCCAGGTGAGGGGATGAACAGGTGAGCAAAGTCATTATGAGGAAAGGTGAGCTCTTTCTGTCCCCTGCCCTCCGCTCACATGTGCAGTCTTCATTTCTCACACTAATCTCTTCAGGGAAATGCGCGCCTGTGTTTTTGTCTGCATTTGTTTATGTAGCTGTAATTTCTCGTGTTTTGTTTGGTTTGCGTATCATGCTATCAAAAATGACTGCAGGGGTCCATCGCTATTAGGCTCCTGTAAGTCTGCGCCATGATTTCTCAGCTTATGGCTTAATCAGCTTTTTCTATTGGTTTTAGAGCACCTGTAAAAGCTTTACTGAAAGGCAGCCTCTCTGAGAGGGTTTTATGAGAATAGTTCAACTTTTTGTTACATGTTCAATGTGAAGACTAATACCATTTTCCATTTCTCTTTAGACAAAATATTCAGTGAGCACAAAGACATCTCTGCAGGCCTCTGTTAGAATGTTAAATGTTAAAGTTCATGACAGTACAATTAGAGAAAGACTGAATAAGCATGGTTTGTTTGAAAAAGTTGCAGAAAGACAGCTTCTTATCTCTAAAAAGATGCACAGTAACACATTTGGAGAAAATGCATAATAGAAGGAAAATTTCATATCAAACCTCATCATAACTGTCAAGCACTGTGGTGGAAAGGTGATGATTTGGGCTTTTTTTGCAGCCACCTGCGCACCTTGATCGTGAACTCTAGAGTCAAACGTAGGCCATCTGTCTCACAGCTAAAGCTTGGCTCAAATTGATTCATGCAACAGGATAATGATTGGGACCACAGCAGTAAACTACAGCAGAATGGATGACAAAAACAAAGAATATAGGTGTTGCAATGGCCCAGTCAACAACCAGACCTCAACCTGACTCAAAATACTGTGAAGGGACCTTAAGAGAGCTCTGCATAAACAAATTCCTGCAACCCTCAATGAACTGAAGCAATGCTGTAAAGAAGAGTGGTTTAAAATTCCTCGGCAAGAGAGAAAACCGCTACTTCAAGTTATTGCTGCTAAAGGTGGTTTATATATAAATAATGCACTTTTTTTTCCCCAAAAATTATGTCTTGATGCGTAAAATCTGATGTAAGTAGTGAAATGTAGCAGTGAGTTTGCATTGCTATCCTTTTGAAGTCTGAAGTCAGGTTTGCTGGTTTTTCCCGTTTCCAGTCTTTACACCACGCTTAAGGTATCACGGCTTTAGCATTATACGAGTCCCAAGTGGTGTCAATCTGCTCCTGACAAACAAGCTTATTTTTCAGCGAGGAAACTTTACAAAATGTCACATAGTGTAGCAACATTTAATGTTTTTCGTTTGCTTATTATGTGAAAGTGCAGACGAATCATCCCTCGAGTGACAGAGGATGAAATAGGATATCGTTGCTATTTTCAGTCTGTCTTTGAAAATGAAAATGCAGAGTTTAGCTTTGCCTCTTGGTTATCAGTGACGGTACAGATAGACTGAGAGACGTGGCTTTTTTTGACCCCGGCGTTAGATGCGTGGATTCTCAGCGGTCTGGAATATTTTAGCTGTGGCGTTTCAGCAGAGATCAGAAAAGTTCAAA